AGAAAATAGGTTCCCTACCCCTGATCTAAATTATCAACATTAATGTGCCCAAGGTCCCAGATCCACAATGGGACTTAGGCTCCTAAACCTCAGAAATAGGTGCTGCTGTGATCTGTAAAAACCCCTGCTAAGCTGCCGCAGAACTCTTTAGGCGCTTAAATTCAATCTGCGGCTAGATTTCTGCTGTAAAAGTTCCCTAGGTGCCTAAGCTTCTGCCTCTAGATTTGTGCATTGCTGCCTGATGCAGGTGTCTGGGCACCTGTCTCATCCTTAAGCCCCAGGGTGATCTCTATACCAGTTGAAGATGTGATACTCCACCTATTTTTGTCTGTGTGGCCCAGTCGGGTAGACATGATCAATCTATGGCCAGCAGAGTAAAGGACAATAAGAAGGGGTTTGTAAATTGTATTGGGAAGAATTTTGTTGGTCCATTACTACATGGGGAATTGTAGAATAGTCAATAATGAAAAGGCAGAATTGTTTAATAAATATTTGTTTTGTGGTGGGGGAAGAGGAGAAACAGATGATGTAGTCCTATCAGATGATGATGAAGAAACGGGTGGATTTGATTTAAATCAAGTTGATTTAACTCACTAGTCAGGAAGACTCGAGTAGAAATCCATGATTAACATAAAAGTGCATTCTTGTTGGTTGTTATAACTTTAATACATATTCTTCACAACTCAGAGATAGATATAGGTTTCATTTTTAGAAGGTACACACTATACATTTTTAAAGTGATTTATTTTGGAAACTTTTCACATTAGTTTTACAGCTATATCAGAAAATGAATCATTGTTTGGTTATTTCATTTAGCAAAGGGGTAATTGAAGCAGATATTTATGAAGTCATTGGGAGGTAAACTATCTTAGGTTAATCATTAATATTTGGAGGATTTTCTTGCCATGCTGTATTAGGAGGAGAACATCACCAGACAGACATTTAAATTGTTTTATTTAACTAAAACAACAACATTATGTATTCTGGATTTTTTTTTCTTTAACAGCAAACATATAATATTTTAACAAAACAAGCATTTGAATTTAGTTAAACATTCAAGTTTTTTAAAATCAGGTTTGTTTTTGTTAAAATTGTTTAACTAAAATAGTTAAATGAAATTTAAAAACAAAAATTAAATGGACTATGTCAGCCAGGTCAACATGGGAAACTTAAAATATTGGCTTCTGCAGCTAACTTGGTCGTCTTCACTTTCTTTTTCCTGTTTGTTCATAATCTGGAAAAGAACAAGCTTTCCTGTGTGGGTTTTTTTTTTTTTTATTTTTTATTTTCTGGACCGAAACCATTTCTCAATTTGGAATGAATTAGTCCAAAGGAAGAAAATATTCTTTCTACACCGGCAGAAGAAGCTACTGCTGTTAAAAGTGAGATTATCACTTCAACAGTCTCCGAATCCAAGTGTTAAGTGACTGCCACCACTTCACTGGTGTGACTTTCTTTAAAACATCATCAGCAAACATATATTTCTTGAATGGTTCTTATTCTCAAACTGGGTCTCTTTTACGGCCTACTGCCATTATAGGTTTTACCTTCTAGTGAGAGAATGGTATGGGAGATCTCAAATCAACGAAGGCTACACTCAGAAAGACCTCAAGACTTCTGGAATATGCTGCTCAAACAGTTTCACTTTTGTTTCTACTGCGTGTCCCTCCCTTCTCACATTTATCTCCAGACTTCTTCTCCTTGTCCAGATCTATTCTGCCCCCAACAATTTTCTATTCATTGAACTTTTTGAAACTTTGCACTTTTAGACAGAGGTAAGAGAGTGACTCTGTGTACACAAATTTGCAGAGGGACAATAGGGTTGAGGCCTGTTATTTCTCACCTCTATATATTATTTATTTAAAAACATTTTTGCTGTTAACAAGCATGTTATCTTTGGAGACACAAATCCACAGTGTGAGAACTGCAAAACTAAGCATCTCTGATGGTATCTTCTAGGTTGAACACTGAGTCCCATTGAGTAGATAGAAAGATTAATCTATACAGAAGCCCCTGGAACCCCATAAGATTGGGTCCCTAATCCATGAACTATTGGAACTCATTTACAAAACTTTTCTTAAACATTACATGAATATATTGTCTCATACTATAGAATTAGAATTTATAATCCCTATTCCATGGTGAGATATCTTTATAATGTATCTTAATTAAAACTGTCTTTAGATAGGTTTTTCCTCAAAAAGCATTTTATCCAAAAAATCCGATTTTAAATAAAAAAAATCTGTTTTTTTTGTTAAAATAATCATTGATTTTTATCCACCCTGGAAGAAACACTTTCCATTCCAATAATAACTCAGGAAGGTGTTGAATAGCAGATACTAAAGTTAGACATTTAATATCAATGGGTCCAGATATCTTGCATCCAAGAGTTAAAAAGTTGGCTGAGGAGCTTGCTTCACTGTTAATGTTGATTATTTTTTTTTTCTGATAAATCTTGGAACACTAGGAAAGTTCCAGAAGACTAAAAGAAAGTTAATGTTGTGCCAGGTATTTAAAAAGGGTAAATGAGATGACTTGGGTAATTATGGGTCTGTTACCATGACAGTGATCCTAGGCAAAATAATGGAGTGCCTGATAATTACATTACCCTCCTTTAATTCTTTAATGCCAATCAACATGAGTTTATGTAAAAATAGATCCTGTCTAAGTTGCAATCTTATCAAAAAAGATATCAAGTTTGGTTGATAAAGATTAATAGATTTAGAATTCTGTAGGCTATATGACTTGATCCTGCATGACATTTTGATTAAAAAATTAGAACGATATAACATGAACATGGCACACATTAAATTGATTAAAAACTGCATAACTGACCGGTTTCAAAATTTAATTGTAAAAGGGGAATTGTCGTTGAGTGATTGTATGTCTAGTGGGGTCTCGCATCGATTAGTTCTTGGCCCTGTGCTCTTTAATTTATTTTATCAATGACTTGGAAGAAAACAAAAAATCATAACTAAATAAATTTTGCAGATGACCCAAAATTTGGGGTGGGAGGTAAAGAGGAGGACAGTATTTTTCATCACTGGCAATTTTAAACTCAAGATAGGATGTTTTCCTAAAAGATATGCTCTGCCTAGTTCAAATAGGAATTGGTTTTGGGAAGTTCTGTGGCCTGTGTTATGCAGAAGGTCAGACTCGATCACAGCAGTCCTTTCTGGCATTAGACTTTATGAATATTTACACCTTACTGGTTCTAAACAAAGTCTGTTAACTCACAAAAAAGCCTTGCATCTTTATGGACAGTTTGATAAAGACCTTTGCTCACTGTGCAACAGTAGTCAAGTAAATGTTAGACTATGTACTTAATGGAATAGAGAATGCTATGGAAATATGACTTCAATTTATTAAAACAGTTATGTAGCCTCCCCTAGAATACTGTGTTCAGTTCTGGTTACTGAAGAAATAGAAGCGGCTCGGAGATGAGTTGAGAAAATTGAGATGAAAAGAGGAGACATGGTGAAAATAATGAATGGCATAGAAACGGATGACCTTAACTCTGCCCACAAACCTAAAATGCCATAATCATAAAGCTATTGCACAACGTTGCTACAGTGGAGAGCTAAGGTTGTTTGTTTGGTATCCTGATTAAGCATTTCCATACCCCAACATGTTTGGATTTATTTTATATTTGATTGTGAATTTGGGGGATTTATAACACTTGATTTTTGGGATAATTGAAACACCTGTAATGTATTTTACTTTATTTACTGATATGTACTCCCAACCTTAACGCCATTTTCCTATAGCTTGTCTTGACATGTATAACTGTTAGGAGGAAACTTTCCCTGGGGGGGCAGATTTCTCCATAATTGTTATTACAGAGTTTCTTGTAACTTTTTCTGAAGCAGCTGGTATTGGACATTGTCAAATATAGGGTATTAAACTTTGATGGGCCACTCATCTGATCCAGTATGGTAATTATGTCTGAAATTACAATCTGAATATACATATATGGATAGTGTTCATTTTAATCCTAATGGAATAAATTAAGAATGACCGAATGTTATTACAAAGCCTAATACTGGAGGGAGTTTAGGATAAGAGACAGGAAAGAGGAGCATTGTTACTCAAAAATAAAAAATCCATTTTAATTTTTACTGGTTACTTCAGCCAAAATACAACACTAGAAGAACTATGTAATTATTTAACCTGAAAGAAGAAACAGTAGAGCAGTATTAAGATTGATTGATTGACTTACCAGTTCCTCTTTTACCCATGCTATTTCTACACTGCCCAACAATTGGGACTAGGGGATGTGAAAATCAGTGTGCACCAAAGTGCTGCTCTGTAACTCCCCATATGGACGCTGCGGGTATAAACTAAAAGTTTCCTAGTTTGCATTAATGATAGTTCGTTAACAATAGTGAACTGTATAGTTACACAATTACCACATTTGTAGGTAAGATACCAAGTGTAATGAAATGAGAGCTTGGATACAGAACACTTTACTAGAGGGATCCAGTGCCAAAAGACTGTTTTAGCCTTGAAAAATTAGGTTGAGCCTAGAAGTTTGGTTTAGGTAGAGGTCTACCCAACTTGAAAGATTTGTTCTAAATTTTGGGGGGTTTATTTTTAGCTGACAGCTGAAATAATAAACTCGCAAAGTACCATGACAGCTTAAAGTTATTTCAGTTCCTGTGGGACATTAAATTTAAAAATATATGTTTAATGATTGAATGTTCTGCCTCTTCCCCTGTGTGGTAGTTGAGTCTACAACCCACAGTTTACATGCATCAGAGTTGTGTGACAAACTGAAAAGTGTGAAGTTTGAGATTGGCAGAATACTAGCTCTGAGTAATTCTGATATGCATAAGAGATGGAGGAGAGCCAACTGTGTCCCCTTATGTTCCTTAAATAAACTGTTTTAATCATGTATGCATTGTAGAAGCTTTCAATCAGAAAGAAATTATCATTGTTTTCTTTAAGATGTTCTTTCTCTATTTTAGTAGCAGTGTCATTTATCTGTCTTTCTTTAACAGAAACCTTTTGGACAGAGACACATTTTCAAAATCTGATCCAAGTAAGTAAAAATTATTTTATTATGTTTATTTGTTGCACTGGATAAACTGCAGCGTAAAGATATCAAGTAAACCTCAAGGGTATTTCAGCCTCTAAGTCAATTCAGTTCTTGTCCCCTCAGCAGAGACTTAACATAGTGTAATTGTGAATATGGTTTTTGTCACGTAGACAGTTGTATGTTAGGAAGTGAACTGAGACTACTGAACTCATTTCACATGGGCTACTGAATAGTCATTAACTGATAACTTTGTTACTACTGACGTGAACCACATTTTCGATGAGTGACATAGACTGTAAAGGTTCTATATCCCATTACCAGTTTCTTGAGCTATCTAGTCCCTTTGAAGAAGATTTAAGGTTAATATTGTTTGTTTTTTTGCTGGGAAGTAATAAATGCAGAACTTTAGATGTGTTGTTTTTTTTTTTTTTTTTTTTTTTTTTAAATATTCTTTTCACATCTTTTTCCAGGCTGCTATGCAAACTATATAGAAACCTTTTTAAAATCTCCTCTTTCTGCTAATGCTCCTAATGAATAGAATTAATCTTAAATCTAGAGTCAAAAGATGAGAAATAAATGCCATTTACATTTGTGTTGATAAATCAATATGCCTTGGGTCACTGGGCAATGTGGCATCTTGGTTGTAAGCCCTCAAAGAGCAGATGTGAAAGACAATAGACAATTCCTAGACTAATGTAAGAATGCAGCTGTGCAGAGAACCATGTCCCTGAACGTGATTTTGGCAGGATTGTCCTTGGCATGAAATTCTTGGCTTTGGTCCAGCATGGACACTTTCTACTCATAGACTGTAAAGTCAGAAGAGACCATCGTGATCATCTAATCCTGGGGTTCTCAGAACAAATTTTTTGGTGGCCGTACACTGAGGCCACCAACTCTTGCTGGTGGCCGCTTTGACAATTTTTCCTAAAATATTTAATTAACTTTAGGAAAAACAAATACATATGCGCATATACATGTCCAGTCTTAGTAATTTATTTATGTTGGGATGTTTTTTCAGACTCAGTAATAATAACATACAGTTGTGTCTATTCTTTACTGGACCTAAACAGAATAGAAACACAAGGTGCTTTGCATGTTCTTGTCTTTTTGTTGTTGTTTCTTTTGCTTTTTTGTTGCAACTTTTGTTTTTTGTTTTGTTTTTTTTTTTGTTTTTTTTTAAGACTTGCTAGCTAGGAAGTCTGGTTCTGTGAAAAGTGATATTTGTATGTTTAATACCACTTTTCACAGCAGAGACTTGTAAGCTAGCTGGGAGGCAGTGAAAAGTGATATGAACAAACATGCAAATATCACTTTTCACAGCAGACTTACTCAGCCCTAGCAAGCTGGGGGCAAATATAAGCCCTGGATGGGGAGATGGGAGGCAGTGGGGGCCAAGGATGATGGGGTGATGGACTGAGGCAACAGCAGGAGCCAGGGGGGTGTGTGAGCCTGAAGCTCAGCGGCCGGAGCCTGAAGCCCAGTGGCCTGGGAGTGGAGACTGCCACTATGCAGCTAAAGCCCAGAGCCTAAAGCCCCACGGTCAGAGCCCGTGGCCAGAGCCTGCCGACATGTGGCCAGAGTCTGCCGCCTGCCACACCAGGGCTGAAGCTGGAAGCCTGAGCCCCACCACCCCTGGGAAGGTGGAGAACTCACACCAGCTGTCTGCTCCTCCAACTTTTGTGGTCAAGACCCCTCCTCCGCCGCCCCCCCCCCCCAGTCACTGCCCAGGAGACTGTGGCTGCAAGAAAAGCCCCTGGTGGCCACATGCGGCCATGGTAGCCACATTTGAGAAATGTGATCTAGTCTGACCTGCACATTGCAGACCATAGAATCTCACCCACTCACTCCTGTAATAGACCCCTAACCTCTGGCTGAGTTACTGAAGTCCTCAAATCATGGTTTAAACACTTCAAGTTACATAGAATTCACCATTTACACTAGTTTAACTCTGCAAGTGACCCATGCCCCATGTTGCAGTGTCTCTGCCAACCTGACCCAAGGAAAAATTCCTTCCCGTCCCTAAATATGGCGATCACTTAGACCCTGAGCATGTGGGCAATACTCACCAGGCAGACATCTGGGAAAGAATTCTGTGTAGTAACTCAGAGCCCTCCTCATCCGGTATCCCATCTCTGGCAATTTGGGGATATTTGCTAAAAGCAGTCGTTGATGGGCCACCTTCCTTTGTAGGCAGTCCCATCATACCATCTGCTCCATAAACTTATCAAGTTCAGTCTTGAACCCAGTTAGGTTTTTTGCCTACTCCCCTACTCCCCTGGGAAGGCTGTTCCAGAAATTCACTCCTCTAATGGTTAGAAACCTTTGCCTAATTTTGAGCCTAAATTTGTTGATGGCCAGTTTGTATCCATTTGTTCTTGTGTCCGCATTGATGCTTAACTTAAATAACTCCTTTTCCTCCCTGGTATTTATCCCTCTGATATATTTATAAAGAGCAATCGTATCTCCCCTCAGCCTTCTTTTGGTTAGGCTAAACAGGTCAAGCTGTTTGTCTTCTCTTATAAACTAGGTTTTCCGTTCCTCGGATCATCTGAGTAGCCCTTCTCTGCACCTGTTCCAGTTTGAATTCATTTTTCTTAAACGTGGGAGACCAGAATTGCACACAGTATTCCAAATGAGGTCTCACCAGTGCCTTGTATAATGGTACTAATTCTTCTTCTTCTTCAAGGCGTGTCCCTGTGGGTGCTCCACTTTAGGTGTGTTGGCACCCTGTGTTTGTAATCGGAGATTTGTAGTAGCAGTGCCCGGTTGGCCGTGCACATGCGTCAGCCATCTTACACTGCTCTGAGCAGTTACCTAGTGTGCACAGTCAACCGTCCCCCAGTTCCTTCTCTTCCGCCTTTGGCTTGAGTCGGAACGACAGCAGC